CCTAAAACTGTTACATCAAATATGTACTAAAATTTTGTATACATGATATGAGATCTTAACAATCATATTATCACAGTATATAAGAAACAGTCGTCATTTAAATGATTAGTTCAGCATAAAAATATTTTGTATGTTAATATTTGCTTGTAAGTAACATAGAAATTCTACATGCAATTATAAAATTCGTAATTAGATACAAAATATACTGTGACACTTGTCCGTGAATTTTAGTTTTCTGATTACTTACTATTTATATATTTTGTTACGTTTGTAATTTTCTTCTCACATACGCACTTCTGTTTTTCTTTTCAATTTAAATTAAATCATTTTTAATAATTCACTAATATTTCTATAAATATAATTCATTCATTTATTTCGTGCATAATCATGTCATGATGATACTGCATAGAAATAAATAGTATATTTGCATTTTAAATCATCACCCACAATATTTCTGATGAATAATAAATGAGCAAATCGTCTGACTTTTTATTAGCATATTTTTTTTATCTAGAACTTGTTTTCTATATTGTTGAACATAATAAACAACCGCTATTTTAGTAATATCAAGAATCCAATAAAAATAATAAGTATTAAATTTATGCTATTATCATTAAATGATTATCTGATCAACGATATTTTAGCTCTATCGTAAAAATATTTATGAATGATAATGCGTTCATATCGTTTTCAAATGACTATGTACCTATTTATAAATTAAATGTAGCACGTATCATATAAAAAACGATAACACCATGTGCCACATTGTGGAATGTGAAATACATTTCATAATAAAACTAATTAAATTTAATCGTTAAGAATCGCTTTGCAGGAAATGCGAAACTGTTTTGCATGCAAAGTTTGTCGTTTGTTCATCACACTTCGGTTATTTCTGGCTTTAGTAGGCAAAGACAGCGCGCCGGTGCGACTCTTCTGCTCATATTTCGAGTATTTTTCAATATTTTAATGTTTTCTGACAGATCAACCAAATTGAATAATTCAAAAAAATGTTCGATTCCTACTGTTTGGGAGATGTGCTGATTAGTTTTCGGCAAAGACAGGTTCAGACATTCTGGAAATATGAAGCTAAATGTGTGAAAAACGGCTTCGAGAGAACGAAGCATCCGATTTGAATTATTCAAAATACATTTTATTTATATTAACGAAACGCGTTGTTTTTGAGGAAAGAAAAAGTTTTTTAATTCATTTTTTTTCGTTTCTAAAAAATATCTTTTAATAATATATACTTGAAATAAATAATTTTAATTTTGCAATTCAGTTTATATAATTCTTAGAAATATGAAACAAGATCCTTACTTCATTCTAACTAACTCCTCTTCGGTAGAGATCAATTTTTGTTCATTTACTTTGCATGTAAACTTATATAAACGTTATCGTCCAATTCATAGACTTTTAGATTTTGTCTATGAAATACGAATAATAAAAGTTACATTATTTATAATGATATATCCGAAAACATTTAATATTCCTCAAATATTTCATTACGGTACGAGAAGTTCTAGCAATTTGCCTTAAGGTACGATGCCATACACCACTAGTTTTAGTTATTATTTCAATAAGGTGCAATAGTAATTGGATGATCAGCTGAATAATTTCTAGTAAATGCATCTAATATCGTTAACGTTCTGTTCACCTTCTTTTTACTTCTCGATCTGACCGAAATAGCCAAGAGTTTTAATTTTTGGAATAATTCTACTAGGAAAAGAATTATGCATATGTAAAAATGGTTCTAACTTTATATTCAAGCAAAATTTAACGTGCAAAAAATATAAAATAATTGAACGAGCCCATATCCAATGCAGTTTCTGTAATCATTATTTTTAGATAATTATTAGATATTATCAATTAGTTTGAATAAATTGTGTAGCAGTTGCACAATTCTAATAATTTATATTTAAGTGGATTTCATAATATTATTTGAACAGTGATCAGTACTTAAGCGTCCTATAAGCTATTGTGATGATTTTACAAAATTCTTCAGAATTTGAAAGTTTTACAAAATAACAAAATATATCACAAATCCAGAACTCTTGATCTTAACTTAATATGATTTTGCAATATTACTTCTTTTAACAAAAAATCCATTATAAGTTTTATAGATGGCAACCCAAAAAATTGTTCTGTCTCTGTGTATGTGATGAGTTTTATTATTACAATTTCTGTAATACCGATTTTTTTATTGATGCAACAATACCGTCTAAGAGCTATTTGCAACTTGGAAACATATCGCTATTTATATTTCCAAGTAAAAGCTGATGTCACTACTACTTGACATTAGGATGCACGAGTCCGATATCGAACCTCGTACCTCTGACTTGTGAAAATGTATATTAACAATTGTATAAGAAAACTATATGAGAACTTAGCATACGCTTTGACTCGTGACACCTTTGAGAAGTCGTAAAAATAAGCTCTTATTTTATAATTAATATTTGTGCAGCGGATATGTGCAGCTCGCACTTTAGTGAGCCACGTTCAATTTATTTTAATATTTTATTTAGACGCAAGTTTTTTTCTAGAGTTTTTAGTAGAGAAAATACTATATTTTAAATCAAACTTGTCAACTTACATAGAGAGAAAGAGGTCAGTATACTAAACAAATCATCATTATTTTCACATAAGGTGCGGTTTACCGGATAAAGCCACAAATAGAAAATATTGAATAAAGTCAGTTTTAAAATGAATAATTCAAAATTATTTTCATATGTAGTGCATATACATACATGTGGGTTTGTAAGTGTAAATGATGCGTATTTCCTCATTTGCTTTTACTTTGAGTCTAATACAGTATAAGCGTTCAAACTTTTTTTAAATAATTCATTTTGACTTATATTTTTGTCAACTGCTCACTTTATTTATCGCAAGGTGTGGCGCTCTATATACTACATCGATGCTTTAATCTTGTTTGAATTACGTTTCTAGCCAATTCAATTCAAACAATGACATCATTTGATGTAATCATCGTATTTTGCATGAGCGCGGATTTCTATATATTTATTTATTTAATTTCATAATAATATTTGTCAGATTCAGAGACGATATCTGTGCTCTAGAACCACATAATGTTCTTACTTGGAAATATTTCTGATACTAAAATAATAACATATATAGAATATAGCATGTATTTTATGGATTTTATTTAAACAGCGATCAGAACTTAAGGAGTCATTTAAGTTGTTTTAATGAGTGGACTTAACTACGTGCCTTTTCAGAAGGCAATTCAGTGGTTCGCCTATAACTATTTGATGAATTTATTATTACACATTCTGTACTAACAAAGGTAGGGCACGATAGTCAAATTTGATTTTAAGCTATTATATTGTGAAAGCTAAACCAATTATATTGCAAGAAATATTGCATATCAAGCAAATAATTATCTGACTATGATCAGTAAATTCCCAGCTAAATCATCATTGTAGACATATGTTGTTTTTGTCAACCTGGATTCTTCTTACCCATAGGCGGGGTAAAATGGGACAGCTAGAGGACGAACACATTCAATGTCTTATTATTAATTTTGAAGAGATTTTACAAAATAATAGCTACAATATTCAATTAATGCAAAATATAAATTTTACGGGTGTATTTTACAAAAAATAACTTTGTATATTATCTGGTATTTCGTCAGAAGTATTCATCAGCAGAGTTAAAACATCTTATTTTATTTTTATTTTTATTTTTTTTTGAAAATTGCTTAATATTTTGTTAGCAAAAGATACATTTTTCTTTGCTATTTTTTATTTTTTATATCTATAACCAGGGTAAAGGTTCATTTGGTCCTTTTAAAACCACTCACATGTAGGCTTTCTTAAAGGTTATATAAAAAAACTGTTGTATCTAACTTAAAAATAACAATTCATCTTATAAAACAATTGAATAACGTGTACATAAAAATTATATTAAGGTCTCGTAAACTATACAACAGTGCTCACGACCAAAAAAACTAACAACGGAAGTAACAACTCCTGATATCGACGTCGTAAGAATCAAGGTGATTGCTAGTTTTTAAAAAAGTAATGTTGAACGTTTTTTACATAAAATTCTGAATGAATTTGAGGTTGAATATTTGAAGTTGAATATTTGAATTACAATACATTCAAACATTTTTCCCTGTATGCTTTTTTTCTGTAAATATTTGCATAATATTTTAGTTTATTTCATACACAGCTGCTGTTTAGACTAGTGAAGTGAGTTATGAATACGCTTTGATGTGGGGAAACTATAAAATTTCTTTTATAGTTAAATTTATGAATATATATTTTTTAGTAATTTATTTAGGCAAAACCAAAATATTTACAAACTTATATAGCTTATTTAAATTTATGTCTTATCCTGGGAACGTATTTTTTGATAATTAAGAAACATCGAATTTAGATTTAGTTTATTTTTATTCTCACAATATAAGACGTACGTAGTATATGACGTTCAATTCAATATTTCAGTAAATTATGTTCGAATGTAACTATAAGCATTTTACGAAACATTGATAGTATTCGACGTCGAAGGAAATTATTGTTTTGTAATGGTTAAGCAATGTGCATTTATGTCGTTTACTTCTCAAATAAATTTAATAGGGCAGGCAAAAATCTCTATCATAAGTTTTGTTTATATAAAGTGCGGCGCATTTCTTGTTACATATTTTCGGTCAAGTTTCTATCGTAAGGTGAGCGTGTACAATGAAACTATTGTATTGGAATGTAAACAATAAACATATATGTATCGTGTGCGATTAGGCTAAATCCATATGATGATCTTTTCTCATATTTATGAGAATTAAATTAAATAATAATAAAAAATAATAAAATGCTAGAGTCAAATTTTACATTTAAGTACGCTCGCCTTACGATAAAACCTTACAGTTACAAGAAATACTTAAGCCGTGTGCATCGGACTTAATATAAATGTATTCCATATCGAAAACTAATTAGAAAATACTGCATATTATTACGATGTTGTTGATGTTTATTGTTTCGGTTCAGGTAAATTTTATAACATCTCAACTGTTGGCATTATTCCTGGCATCTTTCCTCCGCACAACTCTTCACTCCTCCAAGGCAAGTGCAGCAGTACGCCATGCATTTGGATTATCATTAGGGCTATTCTTTGGATATTTTTGCTTCGGATCGTAAGTACTTATTGCAATAAATACTTTTTAAATATTACATAATTTACCTATTACTAGTTCTTTGCTTTATATCAGCGGTTTTCAACCTGTGGAACGCGCCGCTTTATGGGGGCGCCAGGTTGTACTAAGGGCGGCGCGTACATCTGAAACTATTAAATGATAAAATATCGATGATTCTACATTTATATTTTATCATTGATAGTACATACTTCTTTCGAATATTTGTCGAATAAAATATGGTGTAGATTGAAGTTAATGCACGTGGCTAAAAACTCCAGGGAAGCAAACATAGTCATCTTCTAAACTTACCTTTCCTATCATTTCAATTGTGTTTAATTTTTTAAGATTTTCGGTGGTTATATTATTGATGTCATTGAATTGATTAGCTGAGCCTTTCCAACTGATAATTTAGGTTTGTTAATATAAATTTGATAAGTTTTAAACACGCGACTCTGAATATCAAAATATTTTATTTTCTAATGCCAAAATATAACGTTTTGTAATATGACAGAAATTATGCAATATTAATTGATATGCACTTACTCAATATTGCAAAGAAATTAATAAATTTTGTTGAATGTTCAATATTCGATAAAATTCACGAGCCTTAGAATCATATATTCAGGCTCGTGAATTTTATGCTTTCACGTTTTGAATTTGTTTAAAACTCTTAAACTGCTATATTGTTACTATATATCTATTTTAAATGAAGTAAATTAATGATTGCTAAATGTAATCTTTCTTTTCAGACACGCCTTCCACATTGCTGGTCTTCCCGCCTTATCGTACATCATAATTCGAACTCAAAATCCCAATATCGTACAAAGGTAAATTTATATTCTGAAACCTGTTTTTATAAAGATGCAATTTGATTTTTCACTTTTTACGCGGCATGTACCACTGCACATTTTTTTTCTCAATGCATCATCGCAGTTTTATTGAATCGTCTTTAAAACCAATCAATATATTATTTTCAGGTTATAATAAACATTAGAATTTTATTAGAAATATTTAAAAAAAAAATCAAATATATATTTAATAAAACTTTATACATTTTTATTTTGATGGATCATAACATTTGTTATATAAAATAATATCGGTCAATTTTATTTCGTTCCTTACGAAAATACGATTGACTATATGATTCTTAAATGTTTTGACCATAATTCTCAATTCATATTAGTTTATTCTGCAATTATGAATTTTATACATTTGTAGACTAGTCCTCGGCGCTGCTTTGCTATATTTATCATTTGTTCACATGCACAGACAGTATTATGATTACGGATCATACACCTTAGACATTACAGGTAAGTTATCACTCTCATAATTTTTGTTTTATTTGTAATTTTATCTTACATCTTCTGAACATTATAACAATTATTAGTTTTTTTTCTATGAAAAACTATGTTTCAGTTAGTCAGTAAATTGTTACCGTGAAAATATGATTGTACTAACAAGCATGGTATTAATTTTTCTACACTATTAAGATTAGAAACATGTTGCAATTTGTAATGGGACATATTTATTTTTCCATATAATTTATTGAACATAAGTTTTTCTAAATAAAAAAATATAGCAATCAGTAATTTATTTACTATATACTTAGTTGTGTAATTTTTTCCCATATAGGGGCGATACAACTTGATAATTATATTTGCTTCTCATATTATTATTTATACTCTGCATTAGCGATAAATTGTCATTATCTTCGGTATTAGTTTATTATTGTAAAAATGTATATTTAAATTATATAAGTTGCAGCATTGGACGGGATGTGCCTGGTTTTTGAAAATATTGCAATTCTCCAAAGAAACTTTTATATCTCTGATATTAAGCTTTCTTGCGAGCTACATAAGTTTTTTGTAAGATGAGACCATATGGCTATTTAGAAAGTCGAAAACCGAATAAACCGTCTATCTCTCTATATATAATATATGCTGATAATTTTATTTGCAATGAGAAATAAAAGTATTATAAAGAAAAATAGATATTACTCAATATGAAAAGCCTTCCATACTATCAATTTCAATAATAATGAGATTTTCATCTAAACTACTTTTTGTGATTATATTTTCTGAGATTGCATCAGTTTTCTAAGAAAATATGTAGATATATAACTTGATATATAACTTGAATATATATATATATATATATATATATATATATATAAAATATTCCGTTTTCTAATTTGCAAAATATTGATTTTCCTTCCTCGACGAGTAATTTTACGAAGTTCTAAAAAATTCGTGCCCGAAAAAAATTTTAATAAATTGAAAAAATGGAGTATATTGAAATTCGATTCCACAAAGTATATGCACTTTATCTTGAAATGATCGAATAAATTATAAAAAAGAATTTTTTTTTCTTCTTATACTGTTATGAAATGAATAACTGATAAATATAAAAAATTAAAAATAAATCAGATACATTTATTAACTATCTGTAGGGTAAGTTATAGTAATCGCAAAAAAATCGAACATGGAAATTTTCATATCTTCACGTTTCAAAGGTTTCTGAACATTTTGGTATACCTTAGAAACAATGGATGTGCGTGTGTGTGTTTGAATACAATTTTTGTCGACGATTTTGAGAGCACGGATGAACCTATTTAAATGACTTAAAAAACATTCGATTCCTATTAATAAGGAGAGGTGCTGATTAGTTTTTGGCAGGTCTAGCCGTTTCGAAGATACGGGCAAAAAGTGCCAAAATCGTAATTCAGTTTTTGAGATAACGGAGCGTCCGATTTGTATGATTTAGAAAACATTCTACGCGTATTGATAGAATGATAACTGATACAATTTATGGGAAGGCAGGACCAGTGGTTTTAGAGATCCAATGAAAGTAGACTTAAACAATGCCATTTGGCGGTCAAAAGTGATCATTAGACATAAGCGCATCAAATTATCAGATATTTTTTAGAGATTATAATAATAAGTATAAATCTTGTTTGCATTTCTATGGGTTTTCATACCAAGATTGATAATGTTTAACCGTTAGACTATGGCGCGGCGCCTACGCGCTTCAATATTACGTCACTAAAACAACTACGCAGCGCGATTGCTATAAAAAAATTCAAAGTTTTTTGCCTTAGGGTACGAAACCATGCACCACTATAGTATCATTACTATCCACATTTCTATTTATGTAGCCTCAATTTTTTTCATTGCACTAATTCGCATCTCACGACTACGGGTTATAAATAGATCGAAATAATGGTTTTGATATTTTCAGCACGCTATTTTTTATGTCTATTATTAAAATTAATTAGCATATAATTGGTATATGAAATATAAATTAATTTAAATAAAAATAATAATGAAAAACACCTTACAGGTCCCCTTATGGTAATTACTCAGAAGGTGACCAGTCTTGCGTTCAGCATTCACGACGGCCTGGCACGCGACCAGAAAGATTTAACGAAGGACCAGAATTATCATGCTGTTCGCAGAATACCTACTGCTCTAGAGTTCTTCAGTTACACCTTCCATTTCCAGGGTCTTATGGCTGGACCAGTTGTTTTTTATAGAGATTATATTGATTTTATTGATGGAAACCATGTTCTGAAATTTACACCGAAATCAACGGTACGTGTGAGATCAAAATATTGTAATGCATAGACATAAAAAACGTAACTTCTGCCGATGGTAGATTCATATATTTATGTAGGAGAATCAATCGATAATGTGTAATGAAATTGTAAAACAACAAAAAGATAATGCCTCAGATCGAATTTTATAGTATTTTTTGTTATACAAATAGTTGTATATTTATTCTATACCAAGGATCTGAGAATGAACAGAGATTTTATTATTAACCACTTTGCTACGAGGGTGTTTAAAATAATTCACGGTTTTCCGATCAAAACCGATAAATATGTATTTAAAAATTAAAAACTACTTTTCTAAAGAACTAAAAACAATAATAACGAATTAGTATTCTCAGTAATTTAACTCGGAGAGATAAATCTTTAAACCAAATGTCGCATATAGACTACGCTTGTAGCAAAAGGGTCAAGTTATAGCAGATACTATTCATTGAATTTTATATAGTTGTTATATTTTATTTCATCTCGGATTAAATCGTTAATTTATTGGATAACATATTAAATCATTTTCCACACTCAAATCCTTACTATGTATTTTTAATAATTAATTTATCTTTAATAATTAATTGCTATTCAAATTTTAGGCAAGTCTAGATAATAACTCAAACAGCAGAAAAGTTGTGCTTGAACCTTCTCCTATAATCATTGTCTTCAAAAAAGTGATAGTCAGCACAATATGCGCACTGATATTTATTAAGTTCTTCCCATTGTTTCCAATTAAAGCTTTGAAAGGTTAGTGCAATGTTACTAGTACTAGTATCTTAAAATCAGAATACTTTGTGTATTAAAATATGTTAATTTTTTTCTTTCATTTTAATCATTTTTAGAAGATGAATTTATAGTGGATATGAACATATTTCAAAAAATGGTCTATGTTATAATGTCCACTACACTAGTACGATTTAAATACTATCATGCATGGATATTAGCAGATGCCATTTGTAACAATTCAGGTCTAGGCTTCAATGGATATGATGAAAATAATAATCCTAAATGGGATGGTATATCTAATATTAATATTCTGAAGTTTGAGGTAATTGTTCTTTCAAAAGAACCATTTTCTAATCATTGTGCATTACATAAGGAATATTTTTACTACTATTACATTTTTTGATTAAAAGTTTATTTAAAATTAACACTAAACACTAGAACTAAATATTTTAAATTGCATTATGCCTTTGCAATGTTTGGCTAAAATATCTACTTTGTTTATTTTTTTTAGTTTGGAACAAGCTTTCGTGAAAGTATAGCTAATTGGAATATGGGTACAAATAAATGGTTGCGAATGGTTGTATATGACAGGGTGTCCAAACACGGAACTGCGTTGACTTATTTGCTTTCAGCATTTTGGCATGGTTTTTATCCAGGTTATTATTTAACTTTTGCAACAGGGGCACTTTTTACTATAGCTGCCAGAAATGTAAGTCTAGTACATGACTTATTTCTTTAAAATGCATATTACTGATAATGACTATTATTTCTCAGATGAGACGTTGCTTTAGACCATTATTTATTAATGACAAAAGATCAAGAATATTCTATGATATTTTAACATGTCTTGTGACAAGAGTATTTATGGCCTATGCTACTTTTACATTTGTTTTATTGGAATTCTGGGCAGGAGTTCGAGTTTATTTGTAAGTAATTATTAGGCTGCCTCAGATGGGTTTGCAGACTTTCTTGTAAATTATTGATTTTAATATAATATATATATAATCTATTTATTTCAGGCATTTATATCTATCATTTCATATTCTGGGTTTATTAGCCCTAGTCATAGTTCCTATGATTCAACCACACATTCATCGATTATTTGGCTTGAAATCTTCCCTAAAAGTTAGTTCTAGACGTTCTGATAATCAGACTAACGATAAAGGTGCTATTACGGGAAGAATAGAAAGTTTTAATGATGAATCAAAAACAAAAAAACTCTATGCAGAGTTTTCCAAAGGAATTGTAACAAGTGATGTCTTACTCAACAATGTGATAGATTCTGTAAAAACAAATTAGCTCAAGTAATGGAGTGAACAAACTGATATTTCCATAAAGTAGAATTTATAAATGGTTAATGCTAAGGTTTGTCTTCCGCAAGCAGGAAACATGTTTGGATGACTGACTAATATTTTATATAGCCGTTGAACACCTTTAATAATTTAACAGATCTTAAAATGAGTATATTTAAAATTATCAAGTTTATTGAATAAAGGAGGTAATTTATTTCATTCAAAAGTACCCTTTACAATTTTATTAACTGTTGCATATTATCAAAATTTTGTGAAAACTGAAAGATAAAATTAAAATCAAATAATATTTAGATATAAAAGTTTTTATATATTGTAGATTTATATCTTATAATAAGATAAGCTAACAATAATGAATTTGTGTATATGTATCAATGTATTTTATATTCAAATTTTATCTTTTGCACAAAAACCATATTTAATATATTATCTACATAATATATCTTTTAAACAAAAAAACATTGATAGATAAACACATAGTGAAATATTATAAAAACGCTTGTTAAATGTGCACAATAGAAATATTTATTAACTGAGAAGTTCAGCTTCAGACTGTGATTAAAATTCAAATCAACTTTATCATGAAATTCGTCATTTTATTACACAAATCATTTCATTTTATTTATTTAAGTATAGTTTATTTAGAATATTTTATTGGTTTAATACTTAAAATAATTAGTAAAGTATTTTACTAATTTCAAAATAACTTTGTATGTATAAATGAAATACAATGCATTTATTTTAAATTGTAACTGATAATTTTTAAAGTCTATATTTACATAATATTTCAACATTGCAGTATCATTGTGGATTGATAATATCCATCACAACCTGTTGAATACCGTTGTGATAAATGAATTTCTTGAAGTTCTTGTGAACCAAATTCATATGAGCCAAATGTATTTAATATTATTGAAGCATTAAATGGTTTTCTTGCCATCTCCTCCGAGTCTTGGCTGAACAAAGAATTTAGTAATGTGACATGAAGTTTCACATGGTCATACTGTTTCTGTATCAAACCTGTTTGAAAAACGCTATCAATTCATATTTAACTCAACATAAAATACCTTAATTTATTATTAGAAAAAATTCATTGATGTTGATAATAAAACATTCAAACATACCTTTCCTAGAAAAAAAATCAACAATTTTATCTAATAAATTTTGAAATGTGCCATCATTACTCCACTGGGTCTCTTGAATACATCCGTATAAAACATCAACTGTTGATGGATCATCATTCATTATTTCTAGTCCAGATAAAGTCAATTTTATAGGCCCAAGTTTTTCAAGAATAGGACTACAATCATATCGCATGGGTAATCTTTTGATTGAGTTTATATTTATTTAAAATAACGGCACTTACTCTATTACAGATTTTCTGCATTCATTTAATAATTCTGCAGCTAGTGCTCTATCCTCATTATCCATAAGGCACATTGTTCCAATAGTTAAATGCAACTTTTCAGGAATTTGAAAACTTTTTGGATCTACAAAAATTAGTGGGTTTTCAAGAATACGTGCCTAAAAATAATCAACAACTTTCATATGTAAATAAATCACTCTAAATGAATAAAATTTCTTACTTTGAATTCCTGAAACCGATCTTTTATTTCAGCTGAATTAAACGGAATTGATAAGAAATGAGTAAACGGTTGCTTATTTCTAGATGCAATTACAATTAAATCAATTCTGCGCCTTGCTTTGAAAACATTTTTTTCAGAGTTGCCTGTGATTACTACATCACCTCTCTGACCTTTTCGAGGAATTGATATTTTTGTCTGAGTTTCTAATTCGATCTTTCTTCGAACTGCGCCTCTTGCTCCAATTATTTGAGCATAATAAAATCTAAAATAAAAAAAATTATATATGTTTAAAAAAACTATCATTTCCAATATCTTACAAATAGTTCAAATCTTTGATAAGATGAGTTCAATAGGCAATTTATCATAATAATCATTTCAATACCAAATTAATGTTTTTATAACAAATAATGGGTAGTACTGCCCAAAGGCAGGTCTGTGAGATAAGTTAAACTTGAACTCGGTTCAGGGAAGAAGTAGTGTGAGAGTTTTTCTCATTTTTATTTCACACTGCGGTGCCCGAGTTGGGCTTATTTTCAATTAGAAACATATTTTGATCTATATTTTCAATTGAAAATGGTCATCGCGCTGCCCGATGTCAGACTGCCAGAGCGGGAAATGTTTTTATAGTATTGTAAAAAAATGCTACCTAGCAATTGATATTTAATGTGGTTATGCATAATATTTCTTACTGTGGTACATGGAAAGACGAACGGAAGTTTCCATTTGCTAGGGTTTCAATAGCATATTCTGCTTCGCAATCATTGTTTATATCTTCATCACCTTAAAGATACAGAGATCATATAATAACAGTTTTGAGAAAATTATATAATTTATGAAAAAGGTACCCATTCCACAAAAATCATTCTCCTCAAGCACATCTGGTCCTGTGGCATCAGTGTTGTGTTCTGCATTTACTCTGTAACATCGACCTGATATCCAAACTAATTCTGGTTTTAAAATATCCATTTGTTGAAAGTATGATTGAAAAAATCAAAGAAAAATGAAAAAAGTGTAACTTATCCGTCGAACGTCAAGTCTACAGGAAATTGTATAATCAAAAATAAATAACCAAAAGAAAAGAAAAATTAAAAATACCAATAATTTTAATTCAATATGTGTATTGCAAAAAATAATTATTCCGTTTATTATTATTGTGATTTGTGTACTAATTATTATTATTGTGTAAACCTGTCGGGTGAAATTTCTCCTTTTGACGTTTTTGTTTTGACAGATTGTCCACGTGCGTTTGACAACTTCATGAACTTGTGCAAATGTTTGGCGCATTTTCAATGTGCATTCGTGCATTCATTGTTTCAGTGCGAAAGTGATGTAATTGAGGTTATACTTGATAGTTTTCGGCATTTAATTACATGATTTCCTTCTCTGATTGTGCATTAACCTAACATATTAAATAACTATTTTACAAAAATATTATTTACAAAATGTTACGTCGTACCAGCCAGAGCCTGTTACGACTTCAAATACTTAGAAGCAGGCAAATCAATATTTGTGTAATTCCAGTAAGATGTTCGATGGCGGTTGAATACAGAAATTTCAGTTGTGGTTTAGAAAGGAATAAGAACTTAATCTACAACTATAGCACAAGTAGTAATGCAAAAAGTTTGGAATTTGAGAAGGCTTGTGTGGAAACTTTAGAGTCGCTCAATGATTATTTTGAAGAATTAGTGGAGAATTCAGAACACTTGAAAAGTGCTGATGTCTCATATTCGGTAATGTTTAGTATTGTTACTTATTTTTATTATTACTTACTCATAAGTCGTTGAAGTTGTAATGCTCCATAATGTTTTGCATTATAATAAATGTTTGCTCATGTTATAGTCAGCATCAATGCATCGGGATGGTTCAAATGCATCCTATAAATAATTAATCATTACATAATCGCATAAGCCAATATGCAGTTGAAGTGAAATAGCATAATATTCAAATAAAAGTTAAGATAAACGATAAACTAATTCTTACTACTTCTAATTTATTTTCATCTTTTCGATTAGTTCTACATGTGACCATTACTTTTGTAATAATAGTGTTTGATCATATTATAATCTGTATTAATTTTCTGAAAGTGTTTCATCCTAGTTTAACAAATAAAGTGCTTTCAGTATATCAACCATTGAAATAAAAATATTAAGCGAAAGCAAATATGCTCATAAAGTAAAATAACATGGTAGGGCAGGGCGGGGCACAAATGTTCATTCAACTTTCAGTAGTTATACTGTCTAAACCAAATGTACTTAATGCACTGAAAGTAAAATAGCATGATATTATTCAATTAAAAGTTGAGATAAACGATAAACTTATTTTTACTATTTCTAATTTATTTTCATGTTTTTGATTAGTTTTACGTGTGACTATTACTTTTTTCAAAATAGTGTTTGCTCATATTATATCTATATTAATTTACTGAAAATATTTCATCCTAGTTTAACAAATAAAATGCTTTCAGTAAATCAACCTTTGAAATAAAAATATTAAGCAAAAGCATATATGCTCGTAAAATAAATTAACATGGTAGGGCAGGGCGGGGCACAAATGTTCATTCTACTTTCAATAGTTATACTGTCTAAACCAAATGTACTTAATGCACTTAAAGTAAAATAACATGATATTCAAATAAAAGTTAAGATAAACGATAAACTAATTCTTACTACCACTAATTTATTTTCATGATTTTGATTAGTTTTACATGTTACCATTACTTTTTTAATAATAATGTTTCGTCATATTATAATCTGTATTAATTTAGTAAGTGTTTCATCTTAGTTTAACAAATAAAATGCTTCCAATAGCTCAACATTTAAAATATTATTAAGTGCAAACGCAAATGTGCTCATAAAGTAAATTAGCATGGTAAGGTATGCTACAAAGGTTCAACTTGACTTTCAGTAATTATACTTTCTAAATCAAATGAACTACATTATAACAAATAACACATATCAAACGATTATAGAAATTTAATAATAGTAGCGTTTTTTTTACTATTTGTCTAAAATTCATCTTACTCCGCCTATGATTTAAAAAGGGACAGCCAGGGGCAAACATATTCAATTTTTAATTTCAAAGGCATTTTACAAAATAATTTCTATATTATTTAATCAATGCATTATACAAATTATATGGTCACATTTTTTAGAGATCACACTTTATATAACTTTGGTCTGGTATTTTATCAGAAATATTCATCAACAAATTTAGAATAACTATTAATTTAATTTATCTCTTGCAAAATAGCTTTTTCAACTTAATTCACTTTTTTCTTATTGTTATAACTTTGCCAGGGTAAGGGTTTAGTTGGTCTTTTTTACCCCACACACATGTAAGCTTTTATATAGACTATATGAAAAAAAAACTGTTGAATCTAACTTAAAATAATAATACATCTTATTAAACAAATAACGTATACTTTAAAACTATATTCAGGTATCATTGTCCAAATAAACGAGCTCAAAACCAAAAAAACTACCAACGAAGAAAAACTTTTTTTTATGAATATTGATACGTGGCCTTTCACCTTCTAATAGCAACGCCGTAAGTATTATGGTGATGGCTTATTACACATCTCTCGTCTTCTACTTTAAAATAGTATGGTTAAAAATTACTATATGTACTTTAAATGTCTTTATGATAGGCTTTTTAACCCTCGAGCCTTTAAGCCCTGCTTTACCCTAATAATATAAAACTAGATAAACGATACCCAACATCATATTGCCAGTTCCATATTTAATTTTTTTTTACATTTATTTTGTTGAAGCTTATTACTTCTAAGTTATTTCAAATATATTGAGTGATTTATCCTAGTTAATAAAAAAAAATAAGATGCTTTTAGTAGATGTACCTTTGAAATATCAATGTCAAGCGCAAAATCAAATTTACTTTACAGGCAAAATAGCATGATTCAAATAAAACTAAACGATAATCAGCATTATATTGCCAGTTTTGTGCTTCAATTATCTACATTAATTCTTCAAATCTTGTTAATACTTCTAATTTATTTTCAAGATTTTATTGTATTTTACATGTTACCATTATATCCAATCTTTTACATATAGTACCAAGTATTTTGACTTGCATTAGAAAAGTAAAGATAAATTTCATTTTGATTCGTAGACTTCTTATTCTCTGAATTATAATGTTATAATTTTTTTCTAGGATGGTGTGTTAACTATTAACTTTGGTGAACCATATGGAAGCTACGTAATCAATCGTCAATCACCAAATCAACAAATTTGGCTGAGTTCGCCTACTTCTGGGCCAAAACGTTATGATTTTATAGCAGATGGTTCTGGTTATTGGCTATACAAACATGATGGAATGTCAATGCATGAATTATTACAAAAAGAAATTGAACTTATAGTAAAATCTAAAGTGGACTTTATGAATTTAGCTCATGGAAGCAGATAGACTGATCTAAATAGGGAAACATATAAATAATCATTTAGAATATTAGGTCTTTCAAATTTTACAATATCATTTTAATAAAATATCATCATGGAGGTAATGGAAGAAGGCAACCTCATGGACAGAGTTCCAATCTTATTGCAGAGAGATATGCAATATTACCAAGTGAGTTTTATAGATATTAATGAGAGTTATGATTTGACTGATTGCCATATTTTTAATAAGATATTGTAATGATATTAAAGTTATGTATAGTACAATTATACAATTTTATATGATATGTTTTTGCTTCAATTTTATAATCTGTATTTTATAAAAATAAAAATGTTTTATTTGATGCATGTGTATTTTTCTTATTCATTTCTACTATATATTTTCTACTATTTATTTTTTTTATATATTTCTGATAACATTATTTTGCATTTTCTCTTTGATCAATTTTGATTTTTTCTTATTGTACTTACATTTTTACACTCACCTCTGTTAATTTGCAATAAACAAATAATATAGTAAGTGTACATTGACAATTTTTTTTCAAACTGCAAGTTTATTTTTGTCTAAATATAGCAAAAACAAACTGTGTTATCAGAAACCATTTGTCCCGGAGTCGTAGGTGGTCGATTAGATTTTCCACGATCTGCTTCTTTCGCTTCAGTCAAAATCGTTACGTGGTGGGAAGAAGAATATATAGCTGCTTACAGAAGAGGTTCTGGATTGCTTGAAGGTAATTTATCAATAACAAGTATCGAAGATATAATCAACATAAGTAATTAATAAAGAATATGAATGGTTTTGAAGCATTGATATACAAATTTTAAATTAAGCATTTTGTAGTTTTAGCAGACAAGTAGCGCATATGTAAATCAAAAAATATTATTGGTTATATGAAATATTTACACGCAGTTCATGCAATTTGCCACAACGCGAAATGCCACTTACAACTAGTTTCTCAAATTAAGTGAACAACGAAAGTTTATTTTATTCTGATATACTGATATGCATTACCATTATTGACTACTTTCTATTAATTAACTTAGTTTTATTGTCTTACTAAATCATAAAGTATTGCATCGCAATATTTAACTGATGGTATATTTGACAAACTATGGACACTATACGCCTATTAAAAAAAATTTCGTCTAAATGTGTTATCTATAAAATACTGTAATATTTTTAAAAGGAGGTGTAGCAGATGCCACAGCACCTTTAGAAGATTTAGAACTTAAATCTGGGAGTACAGATGAATCCGAGAATGAGGGTGCAAACGATAACATTATAAGAGCATCCGATCATGAAACAATTGTTAGCATGATTGCAAAATCTGCAGATCAGTTATTAGGTAACATAAAATATTACAATATTTTTTCATTATATTACTGTAGGGTGTTATTTAAATAGAAGTAGTATGCTTGTGTTTCGGTGAAGTTTCGGTGATCTTGTGCGGAGAAGTTACTGATTTTTGAACGATGCAATGTCGTTTACTAATTCCTATTAATTTTCGAGTTCCGCATTATGATAATTTCTATGATGATAAAAATATGCATGTGTTCAAATATATTTAAGAATATAATTTATTTGTTGCGTGAAATTTTTGTTCACTTTACTAAGCAAAAGTTTTTTGTTGTTACTATTTGAAAATTTGCCTTTTCACATTTTTTATTTTCTTCGCCTGAATTGGACATTTAAATATGCCTGAATTGGCGGAGTTCAAAACCGGAGTTTTCAATTGATAAAAAATTAAAATGAATGTATCCCATGTTGATAACGCAATAATCAGTGAGGATTGTTTATAAAATTTATTTATTATACTTTATGTTCTTTATGTAGTAATAAAGTAAGCCGAGAACAAATGAGAAGTACATTACCGATGTACATGCGGATATATGTTTACTTGTATCACTTTTTTAACATCAAATCAAATCCAAAGAAATTTGTGATAATATAGTTTTTAATTTATTGACTACTAATCTTTACCTAAGATTATATATATATATATATATATATATATACATTTTTCGTTTTTATATATCTTATTAACGATGTCTTGAAAAGGTGTTGTGGCCGATGCAGCAGGGCCTTTAGGTGAGTCAGGAACTACAGAAGTTCCTGAGTATGTTGGTGGATGCGGTGGCATTATAAGAGCATCTGATCCTGGAAAATTTGTTAGTATGATCACAAAATCGGCCGACCAATTACTAGGTTAGCAGATAAATTATTTTAAAAACTTATCACGATTGCTATTCTTATTTAATTGGAGTTTTAAATATAAAGTAAATTTTTCGTGCATACCGCTTCGTTATCTCACCGTCAGTAAAATAATTCAGAATCATGAAAAAAATGTAACGCTGTATTAAAAATCATTTTCAGAGCATTTACACACGTTATCACAAGAAGCTTTGGATCACGCCGATTTGGCAGTACTTACCGCCACAATTGGTGCCGCCGCGCTTATAAGAAATTGTTTATTTTGTTATCTACAGCGTGTCACACAAACCAAGTGTCGTGGACCGCCAGGTGAAAAATCGGGTTCTCTAAAAGTTTCCCATAAACAATATTCAGAAATGGCAGAAGCTTTAGCTGAACGACTACTAGATTTACACTGTAGGCTGCTTTCACTGTATATCTTACAAGATGCTGATTGTCTTGACTGGGAGAATCCTCAGCCGTTTTTTGAATCTGAACGCGGTTCATACATAATACAAATGTGGTGGCTATACATGAAAGGTGATAATAGTATTTTAGAATCAATAAGAAAATGTATTTTTGCTTGCAAGATGATAACGGAAGTATTTCACGATCCATCAAAAAAAATCGAAATATTCGTATATAGAGCGATTTTGTTTATTAATAAAGAATAACTAAAGAATACACTTTCTTTTATGGTATAAATTTATTGAGCACATATTATTATATATGAAAATAAGCCTTCGTTTATTCTTTCAATATACATGATTTGATAACTAAGTGTATCTAATGAATTATTTTATTTATAGGTACGCAGCAGGATTTGTGGACAACGGTGCCTCCACTAATGGCTCAAAGAGTATTTCAAGGAATGTTAAATGAAACTCTATCTATACTTACTGTTAGATATACCCAAGTAAGTTATTTTTTATATAAAATAATAGTTTCAGTTAACCATGCGCACGAATAAGGAGATGAATGGCTAATTTATATTATTAATTTATTGATATTTTTGCTGTTGTGTTTAATATGTGTAATGTTTTATTTGCCATTACGTTGATTGTCATTAAGTTTAATAAGATAGTCATAATTATTTCATAAATTATAGGTACATAGGATCTAGATTCTTGTATTTAAGGAGGTATTCTACTGTAGAATTTTGAAAAAATCGAAAGTTTTTTTTTCATATTTTCAAAGTTTAGTTATTCAGAAATATGTCATTAAAAGAATTTTTCAAAATTACTATTATTTCCCGAGTTATATCCGTTTTAGTGACGTGGCCTCGGTTCGGGTCCGACCGAGTCTCAAAACTTTGAACGCGTTTTTCTCGGAACTACTTTTTTCGAGCTGGCGGTAAGGATATCTCGAGTTCTAATGAACCGATTTACTTCAAATTTGGAGAGGATCTTCTCTATACATCACTTTATCGCATAGACCTTTCCCAAAACTATAACTTTTTATTTAGTATTTTTAAAAAATTCGGAATTGTTAAAAAAAAACATGAAAAAAAATTTTTTTGTTCAAACTGCCGCCATTCAAACAAAAAAATTTTTTTTTAACTTATCCAAGGTTCATACGATAGCGGCATCTATAATAATTAAGAATCCATCTATTTTTTATGTTTCGGATCACCAGGAGGGTTGGAATCATGCACGCCATGACACCCTCGTTTTTTTTGAGCTCCCACTTTGACTGCTCATAACTTTGTGAATTCTAATTTTTTTTCTTTGCTAATTTTTTTTATGTAATAATAAAATATCAATAAACAAATGATAAAAAAATCGATATTAAAAATATTATTTGTTTCCTTTATACAGCGCTTCAAAAACCGGGCAAAATTCATGCTTCTACAGTAGAATACCCCCTTAAATCGTTCCATATCTAAAATTAATGATATTACTGAATAATAAAAATTCCAGACGTGTCCCAGCAGAGCTCGTGCTGACTTGCTAAGAGTCGATTTAGGAAATTTGCTGCTTTGCTGCGGGGAACTACTGCCCGCTGTCTGCGAAAGCGGCGAAGCATACAGCGGCATCAATTTGGCAGCGGAAGATAAAGCGGTTCGAGACATACACGCCAAATGCCAGGAACTTATGGCCGGATTGGTTTTGAGGGGCGCTCCACTTTCTACTTTGTACAGAGTTAATTAATTATTTTGCAAGCTTTTTAAACAATTCTTCACTACAGTATTAAAAATTTAAGCGACAAATCAAAATTATTTATGTTTCAGGTTTTTCGTAAGGATGTTGATCTAATAGGGTTATTTAAATCAAGAGGTAGCTGTGCGAGTCCATGGATAGTGATGACGAACCCACATCTCTTCTCCGCCGAGTCCGGAAATCAATTTGCAACTCGTATGCTTGATCTAACGCCAGGAGCAGCTATTGCATTGGAACTGAAGGTCTATTTGGCGCAGCCTCAACCTACTTGGCCACTGCTGTTAAAAGTAAGTTTAGAGAATCATTCATATAAGTAGTACAAATTTCTGTCTGATCTGATACAGACTAACAATAAGTTAAATTCAAAGGCATTTATCATACATTTTTAAATTATTAGGTAGAAGTAAGTTTAACATAGTTTGCATCACAATAGTTATTTTCATCCTGTATTTGAAATTGATACACGTGATATAATATGGCTTATGATAATCGAGAGGAAAGATACTGTACTATCAAAACAAACTTTTTCACATACAAATTCTGATAAAAAATATTTAATTTAAATTTCAGTTATTGCTTATGCGCGATTGTGCAGTATCTTCTATAATTCTACATCATTTAATTAATTATTTACCTATGTCTGATGATATGGACGGCGGGTCGGTAACATCAAAGAAAGTAGTTATCAAAACTCAAGCTTGTGATGGATTTCTTTGCACATACGATTGCTCGCCTTCGATGGATGATAATAAAAAGTAAGAGTTCAAAATATTTTATTTCTGAATGATTGTTTAAC